CAAGAAAGACGTTTGTCATGACTGTCTCTAAAGAAATTTTTTATAATATTATAGTTTTTTTTACACTGATTATATTATAGTCTACTAGTTTGTAAGGATAAAACACTATTTTTTGTGATATTTTACGGGATTTGTTCCCATAAACCGAAGACTGTTGATTTTTGTTAATTTTTCATAGAGGTCTAGTGATTTAAGTTTAAAATTACTTAAAATATAAAAAAATATAATATAAATGCATTTTATTTTTACAATAATGCCAAACCTTTAAAATGACTAGATTAACTTAAATAAATATCCATTGTTAGTATAAAATTGACGCCTTAGAAAAGCATGCGCCTCTGAAGCGTATGGTTATCTTTTACGTACGTTGTCATATGGTTATCTTTCTAGGGTTAACTAAGAATTAAGTACGAAAATTCTTGGATGACTTATCTTAACTTTAGGAATTCATATTACCGCCATCTTCGAAATTTTGTTTAAAATCTAAAATTTCCACGCTATTATGCCGGCGTCAAACGAAAGAATCATATCCAAGATCTGCGGACGGCGTAGTGTTAAAAGTGTGTGAACAGTGTCGTTTTCATCGAGAGTACGATGATGACGGAGGCAACGACAGTATCGTCCTGGGGGCAGAGAGGCACCTTCGAGTTAATTTCCATGTCCCGTCGCACCAGTCGGAAATCGTTCGCGGACTCTGCCGCGCGAGAAGGTTCCGTGGAAGGTGGATGCTTGCGGGTAATCATGGTGCATTGTCGTTCTTCATGGCGAGGAGGCTTCTCCGGGGCCGGTATTCGCTCTCTCGCAGCTCGGCGCCGTATCTAGCATTCAGCCGGGGCAATTAAAGAGCACTAAATTTCACTCGGGACACGAGGCGGTGCGTACATGCGGAATCCTTCCGTCCTGTTCATTTCGACTGTACTCGCGGGGCGCGCTGGTTATAGGCGCGATTGCCGCTTGTCATCAACCGTCGTCCCGCCGCGAGACTGCCGGATGCGTGTTATACTATGCAAATTATTCCGCAACGTTTCGACACCGTTACGCCTGTTGACAGGTTTTTCCTGTCGGCTGGTGTTGGTGGATCGTTAAACGGTACCTGCTCAAGCACACCACGCTGGCTTCCGTAATTGTCCGGGTGACGTCGGGCGAGAATGGCAACGCACCCGGGACCTGCTGCGACGGGAATAGACTGCGCTTAACTACCCG